TCTTGCTTGGGCAACTCCGTAGATGGGGGGTCATTCACAGCAACCAGGGTGGAGAGCAGCGGGGGTCAGCCAGACGAGAGAACGGCCACCGAGTGCCTGTCCTGCCAGAGGCATGGGGACAGGTTTCGTATCCCAGGGAGCACAGAGTCTAGTGAGGAGACGCCTACCCTTGCACTTGTGGACCATACTCAGAGGCAAGGCCCCAGGAAGGCGACAGAGTCTGAGAGTCTATGACTCGAGTAACCGGAAATGCCTACATGCCACATGAGCCGCAGCCGGGAGAGGTGCAGCCCGCCTCCCCGAGGCTGTGCAGGCCGGCTGGCCGACAGGACAAGGCCCGGCCAGAGACGCAGCTCAGAGAAGCCTGTCCCACCTCCGGGCCACCAGGGCTGCCCCTGGACACTGCCCCCCCCAGGAGAGTTCGCTCTCCCCAGCACAGGGAGCCAGTGAAGACGCGATGGCATCAGGGAGAAACAAGGGACAGAGGCAAGACAGGCGGGAGCTTGTTTTTCCAGCGCGAGGGCACAGACACCGCGCTGGGCCGCGCGGCCCAGGCGCCCTGGGGACTCGGGCCCCCTGCTCCTGCCGGGCACTGCCCTGCCTGCCCTGCCTGCCCTCTCCTCACCTCCCCCTTCCAGTCTGCCTCCTGCCTCTGCCCCTCTCCTGTCGGCCGAGGGTCCACGGCCTCCGTGATGGCTGCTGGGTCACGCTCAGGGCTGGCTGGCGACAGGAAGTGAGGAGTGCGTGAGTGACAGACACACAAGTGGCACCTCAGGAGTCGTGTGTGTCTCAAGGGCTGGGCCCTATGGGCGGCCACAGGAGGGGCAGCGTGGCAGAGACACGCAGTGCCCGAGGCGCAGGCTTGCCGGTGAGGGCGTCTAGAGTGACACAGAAAACCAGGGTCCGGCCGCTCTGAGACCCCTCCCTTTCAACAAAGTCCTCAAACTGCTACACACTTCATTTTCTTACCCTAAAGGTCTTTTTTAAAACAAATGAGTCATTATGGCTATTTCTCAAGTTCTACTCAAAACCTGGGTCTTGGAGCAGTTTTACTTATCCAGACTCCTTATGGAAACCAGGATGGTAAAGAAACATTTCAACAGAGTCTAGCATCTGAACAGGTACCTTGGTGATCGCATACCTGGCAGCGAGCAAAGAAAGGGCAAGGCAGCACAGAGTGTGGCGGAAAGGACCGCGGCTTTTCTAACACCAACCTGAAAGGCACCGGCAGCCCTGACGGTCACGGAGAGTCTCAGGCGCCCCGGTTGCCGGGAGGAAACGAATACGGGTCCAATCCAACCTTTAAGACTCGTCCCCCAGGCTCGGAATCAGAGAAGGGCCGCGGCAGGAGGCGGCCCACGGGAAGTTTGTGGCGGGGGACGGATGGCGCTGGAGTGGTGGGGGAGGCCCTGGGCGCAGTGGGGACATGGCAGGCAACCCAGGGGTATGAGCAGCCGAGGGAGAGCCCGGGGACAGCAACATGTCCGAGAGCTGTTTTCGGGAGGACCCACCACTCAAATACTCAGCAGTGCCCCCACGAGGACCTGCAGAATCAGAACCAAACAGGACAATGAGGCCGCCTCTGGCCCGAGGAGGCTGCACCCCACTTCTCACGTCTTCCCTGCCTCGCAGCCGCCCCTCCCCCAAACGCCTTCTTCCTACAGAGGGTCTCGACGCCCCCGACATGGCAGAGCAAGTGTGGCTGCCAGTCTGAGCGCGCACATCCTGGGGATGCCCAGACACGGCACAGGCCAGGCAGGCGCGGACGCCTGCGGACGGGGGCGAACCCTCCGCGGAACGAGACAGCCGGGTGGGCCCGGGGGAGGACGGCCAAGGAGGGAGGGCAGCGCCCGGGACCAGGAGCAGAGTCGCCTGGGGGACAAGCGGCAGGCGGGCAGTGGGGGCAGGGAAGGCCCGGCCTGAGGCCCCAAGGGTGTCGGGGGAGCCGCTTGGAAGCAGCCAATCTCAGGGAAGCCCACAGGGCGAACTGAGGACACGTGGGAGGGCTGGCTACCGTCACTGCCCTTCAGCAGGCTGTCCCCTGACCTCAGCCCTCGAGTGCTCACATTCGAGGTGACCTTCTGGATTGTACGCTAGACTCATGAGCCCCTCCTTCAGGTAGGCCTCTCAATGTGGAATGAATATGCATACATATTATATATGTACATATATATTTTTTAAGGATTTTATTTACTTATTTTGAAAGAGAGGGGAAGGGAGGGAGAGAAACATTGATATGAGAGAGGCATCAATTGGCTGCCTCTCACATGCACCCCAACTGGGGACCGGGCCTGCAACCCAGGCCTGTGCCCTGACTGGGAATTGAACCGGCGACATTTTGCTTTGAGGGCAGCCGCTCAGCCAACCGAGCCACCCAGCTAGAGCAGTGTGGAACGCCTCTCTGACTTGTTTCCCCTGACCTTCTGTTCCCTGAAATCCTAACCGTCCTTCAAGCCACAATGCAAGACATACTTCCCCCCCAAAAAGCTCTGCTTGACCTCGCCTGGCTCCATGGCCCATGGGGTTTCCACCGATGGCCTGTACTTCTGACGTCACCCCTGCCTGGCCTTAGCACGAGGCCCCGGCGCACGTCTCCCTCGGCCTGCTGAACGGCAAGCGCTTCTCCCGGGTGAGGGGGCCGCCCTGCACGCTCTGACCCACGGAGGAGAGGCCCAGTGCTTGTGGGACCCCAGGAGGAGGGAGCGAGGACGCTGTTTTGACGCCTGCTCCAACCTCGGTTGGCCAATGCCAGTTACTGCTCTACAGGCGCCCTCGGCAAGATGGTTTTCAATGGCTGGACCCCGTGGGGGCACAGCGGGTCACTGGGTCAGGGACAGGGTGAGTGTCTTCAGATCTGACAACGGCTGCACTCTAAGTGGCGCCCCTCGAAACCCCACCCGGGCCTGGTGACAGGCCCAGAACGATAGAAGCGGGCAGTGGGGCTGCTCTGGGAGCAATGCCCGCCCTCGGCCGGGCCCGTCTTGGAGGGAGGCAGAGGGCGCAGGGAGCCCGCATCGGGGCTGCGCCGAACCGGATGGCAAACATTCCCAACACGGGCTGCTGCCGCTGCTCCTGGCCTGGGGCCTGGGGGCGGCCTTCCTTTTAAAGAAACAAAGCGTCTTCATTAGCTCCTTCCCTTGGGCTCCTCTGTGGAGATGGTGCTAAGAATCTAGTATTTCCGAAGCCACGTGCCTTAGACTCCGCAAGTCCCAGGCTGAGGTCTACGACGGTCTCACAGCCAAACTTAAACTTAAAATGCCCTCACATATTCTTTCATTCTGCAGCAAACAGTCCGATTCATTGACAGTCCTGTAACCCCACACGCTGAAAAGGGACATTATAGGTACTCTTCAGATAATTCACACTCACTTTTTGCTCATAGAGGGGAGAAAAATAGAGCTGGGACTGCCTAAGGGCCAAGCCGCACACACTTGTGACAGGGACCCGCCAGAAGGGCCCGCGGGGGACGGAGGGCATCTGGGCGCGGGTGGGCCGCAGGGAGGGAAAGCGGCGCTCAGCCTGTGGCAAGCGTAGGGTGGCAGAGGGCTCTGCAAAGCCAGGCCCCGGTGCCCCCAGAAGAATGCACTCCAAGGCCCTCTCCACAGGCAGGGCCGCCTCAGCCTGGGCACGGGGCAGTCCCAGAGATGGAGCCTGAGCTGGGATACGTCTCTGAAAGTCACAGGGCGACCTCACTGCTGTAGGCGGGGCTGGGGGAAGTCCACGGTGGTTAAGCCGCTGGCCCAAGTTCTCAGGTACAGAATCAGAACAGAACCGACACTCGGACCCACCACTCTAAAAGCAAGAACAGTGGTGGGAATTTCTAAGCTTACTGTGTGCCAGGCAGCCTCCTAAGAACGTCTCTAATCCTCCTGTTCACAAAAGAAGAGGCCAGTGAAAGCGTGATCCCCAGGGGAGGGCGCTCGGGGGTGGGGGGGCGACGACGAACGACCGCCCCAGGATGCGCCCGCCGCGGCGGCGCGCCAGCGCGGCGCCTTGCCCCCCCAGCTCTTCCCTGTCGCCCATCGTCACTTGGACAGATTAAAGGGGAACAATGGCTGGTCAGTTCCCCTTTACGGGTGGATGGATGGTTTTTGGACAGATGCAGATTCCAGCAAGACCAGCTCTATGCCTCCTAAATAGCTCATGTCCCAAGTTTCAGAAGAAAACTGCTTAAAAAAACGGCCACAAACATTCCCCCTCCTGCACCCAGGCCCCTCTGCCAGCAGCTCCCGCCAAGACGGGCATCTCCCTCCCTGTTCCCGGAGCCTGGGCTGGCCTGGGACTGACCTGAGGGGACGCGACAGATGCGACAGATGTGGCAGAGTGCCGATGTCGAGCTAGGTCTTAAGACACCTTGCACGCCCCCATTTGTTTCCTGGGGACCCTGCCAGCGGCCCTGTGAAGAAGCCCAGGCTGGCCTGAGCGGGGCCGACGGATCACGTGGGTTGCGGCCAGCTCAGCCCGGCTGTCCCAGCTGGGGCTCCAGGCATGTTAGCTAGTACAGCCAGGTCAGCCCGGGCCAGCTCAGCCCTGTCCCCCTACCATCCTGCATCCTGAGGAACGAGAAATGGTTACTGCAGTTCAAAGCAACTAGGTCTTGGGGTGGTTTGTCACACAGCAAAAGCTAACTGATACAGCCCCTCAAAAGCTAATTGACTCCAGCTCTCTCACGCTTCCTTTGGGAGGAAAGTTTCTTTTTAACCACAGAAAGTAGAGGGCTGGCCCCAGGGGAGGTCAAAATAAAAAGGCCACAGCGCCTCCACATTTATGCCCACGTGACAATGCTGCAAGTGTGGCCCATCCCTACTCCCACCCTGCGCCCCCCTCCACACAGCCCTTCAGCACAGAGAGCTGCCTCCGCTCCCTGTCCCACCGGGTGCGGGGACCTGCAGGGCAGCAGGAGTGGCGATGGCCGTCACACACGCGTCGGGAGGCAGAGGCTACGCATCAAAGTTCACGCTCACCGGTTTGCAGGTAAAGAGCGGCGGGGAGCGACTCACCGAGGGCACAGGTAAGTTGCCGTGCCGGCTGAGAAAGGAGTTAGAGACGGACACACTGAGGCCCTGAGTGGCACTGCTGTCCTCGGGGGTGAAGGCCACTTTAGTTTGCTGGACACAGTAGGAGACAGAGGAGAAGGAAGAAGCAGCATAGGAGGCCTGCTGGACAGAGGGAGAAGGCGGGAAGGAGGGAGAGAAGCAGAGAACGGTCAGGCATGCGCGCACAGGCTGAGGGGCTGCGGCCCAGCTCTGCTGGGACGGTCTGGGGACGGTGGCTTCCTGGCTCAGTTCGGGGATGAGACGCCCGCCAAGGCTACCTGGACAAGGGGCCACCCCCTTCGTTTCCTCATGGTAGATTCAACACTAACTTTCACAGAAACTGCATCTACTGCAAGTGGAAAAGGGAGGCCGAGCGGGTTTGAGCCCCGCTTTCTGGCTGGCTCAGGGCCCCAGTTCCTCCCTGGCGGGTGCAGATCACGTGGTGGCTTGTGTGTTGGTGGAGTGCAGACCGGAGCCAGGCTGCCTGGGTTTGAGTCTGGGCCCTGCCACCTGTGACCTCTTTGACCTTGGGCATCACCTAAAGCCCCCTGGGCTTCAGGCTTTTCACCTGTGAAACGGACATGACACTGTGCAGGGCTGTGAACGCATTGAGCACTTAGAGCCGTGCCTTCCACAGTGCGTGTGGGCCAGTGACAAACTGGGACGGCCCTCCCGGAGCCTGCACGCGAGAGAGGGCATGCCAGTCCCTGCCCAGGGCACAGCACGGTGTGCCTGGGCTTCCGCCAGACCTGGGCTGTCCTCAGCTCTCCCACTCCTCGCGGTGGGCTCTGAGGACGTCTCTCCAGCCCCGACAGCCTCAGGTTACTCCAAGTGGGGACGGCGGGGTGGTGGGAAGGACCACGCGAAGCCCCATGGAAGCCTAGTGTGTACAGAGAGGGTCTCTGGAGGGTGTCTGCTCAGCTCCCGGGGCCCCACAGGCCTCTCCCTGGCACCCCTCATGCCCACCCTGCCGGCCTGGTGAAAGCCAGGCCCAGAGAGCCCTCCCAACAGGCGGCGCCCAGCATGCTCCTGAGGGGTCACTAGCACAGGTGCCCAACGGCACCCGCAGAGGGGCTGAGAGCATTTCAAATCGCAGCGGGACCTGGTCCAGCTGTTCAAGCGGACAGTTTAGGTGAGGGGTCTCTGGGGCCGGCATTGTATTTCTGTGGAGAAGATCCCCTTCCAAGACATTTTTAGAGCAATTTACATTCATGTTCAGGCACATTCAGGCATCCGTGGGGTGGGCAGCACAGGGAAGAGCCACGGTGTGACTGGCCAGCAGCAGGGCTGGAACGCAGGGCTCCCGAGCCCGAGCCTGGCTTTTCCCTCACCGGCATGCTGTCTCCCGAAAGGCTGCGTGTGGGCTCCAGCCCCAAGCGGCCACGGGGAGGAACCCAGGGACCTCTGTCCTCTAGTCAGGGCTGGGTCCCAGAAAAGTTGAGGCACCCACCGCAACGCCTGAGAGGTAGCCCGGTTAGCCACGCTGGTCCCTCCTCAATGAAACACTCCCTGCCCAGCCAGCATGTGGGCACACCAGCAGCATGGGGTGCTCTGAGAAAGACCAGAACCCCTGCTGGGCACAACCTTCTGGCAAGGCACGGCTGGATGGGGTGTTTGGGCTCTAGAACCTGACCAGGGTGCACTTGGCCAGTCCACAGGCAGCCAAGAGAGAAAGGTTTAGGGGCAGGAAAGAGGCACAGCCAACGTGTGCTCCTGCCCAGCCCCGGAACCTCCCGGGTGCCCCACCCCGCACGCAGTCCTCACACAGGTGTTCTTAGAGGAGCAGGTGCTGTGCCCGCGACGCACGTGGCTGTTTGAAGCCATCTGCCTCAACAGAGCTGGTTTTCACTGGGGCCCCTGGCCGGGGTGGGGGGTGTAAGCCACTCTACAGAGTTAGGCTCATTATGTAAATCAAGTCCACAGACGGCCCTGCACAGACCCTGCCCTGTGATGTGATGAGTCCCCCTTTCGAGGAGGTCTACGCTGGCACCAAGGAAGAGGGAACATAATGAAGGAGGCTGTCAGCAGAGAAAGCGAACCGGCCAGTCCCAGCTGCGCGGGGCTGCTTGTGGGGGCAGGGAGGTGGCAGAGCAGGAGGCTGCCTGCATGTGAGCACATGAGCTGCTCGTGGGACCGGAGGGCCCCGCGTGGGGTGTGGCGAGTTCCCATCAGCCCAGGGCCCCACCTGGAAGGAGGGAGGGTTAAACCTGTCCCCTGGGAAGAGGATGATCTTGTTCCCGAGACCTGCCAGGATGGAAGCTCTGGTCACCGGGGGAGCACAGAGAGGGACAGGGGAGGGGCTGCTTACCAGCTGCCGCTGCTTGGGAGGCAGGGCGGGGGGCGGCGCCAGCTCCGGGGGCGCGTCGGCGCTGCTGAAGGAGTCGGTGAAGCCGTAGACCTCCATGAGCAGCCTGTTCTTCTGCTGGTAGACGTGTTCGCTCTGCGGCGTCTGGTAGAACATGGACGGCTGCGGCTCCGAGTAGTCCTCGAGCAGCTGCATGTAGGCCAGCACTGCGGGACAGGGACCTGGTCTGTCACTGCAGCCGGGGTGGCGAGACCACCCTGGGTGCCGCTACTGCAGTGGGCACGCACGTCCAAACGCAGGGGACGGACGCCAAGAGCGAGCCCTGGGGGTCTCGGCTCTGGGTGACAGCGACACGCCAGTGCAGGCTCACTGGATGTCACAAACGTGGTGTCCGGGCGGACAGGGTGACAGCAGAGAGGCCATGTGGTGGGGGGTGGGGACAGGAATACACAGGAACGCGCTGTACTTTCCATTCAGCGTTGCTGTGAACCCCAAACTGCTCTAAGAAACAAAGTCTATTTGTAAAAAGCATGCCGGGGCATCCGGCGCTCTTGCTGCAAAGCCCTGGGGGTTTCCTGGCACTGGAAGGGCACGGACTGTGCAGATGGGGCTCACGGGCCGCCCAGCTGGCCCCTCGGTTCCCGGACCACCTGCAGACATCCGCATGGTGGCTCCCGTTGCGCTTTGCCAGCCTGAGCCGGGCCCTCCCCTCCTGCGGCTCAGGCCCAGCCTAACCGCACTTTCTCCGAGCCTCATGCACACAGGAGCCCCTCGCCCCTCCCATTTGCCAGGGGCTACCTGAGGGTGTCGTTCATTCCCCCAATTTTTACTGAGCACCTACTGTGTGCTGGGCACTGACCCAGGGGCTGGGCCTACACAGAGGCCAGCACAACAAGTCCTCTGGCCCTGGGGATTTGCCCCGCCCCCCAGGAGACAGAAACAGGCCCAGGAGCAGCGAAGTTTGGGGCAAACGCCCCTGGGGCACAGGGACGTGGGGGGTGATGGGGGTGCTTGTCTAGAAGATGGATGAGCTATGTGAGGATGGGGAAGAGCCCCCCACATGAGGCTACAGGCCAAAGGCCAGAGGGGCGTGGGGTCCAGGGGACCGTGAAGGAGACGAGATGATCAGCAGGAGGCGGAACCGGCCAGGAAGCAGACCTGATGCTGAACTGGTAGGGACCCTTGGAGGGGGTCCCCCAGGTGTGCCTGCAACCGCTTTGTCTGGAGAAGGCCGTCTGCCAGTGTGGGGGGTGGAGGGGGCTGTCCAGTGAGAGGCCCTGGTGGGGGTGGGGGGTGGGGCTGACAGAGGTCTGGTGCAGGGTGCATTTCAAAGACGATGCACTAGGATTTACAGCCTCTCACTTTCAGGAAAGTCCGAGCTTCAGGAGGGCGGGGCCACAAGCTGTCGTGGCTGACACACAGCAGGTGTCCGTCTGCAAGATGCATAGAATGAATGAACAAACAGGACACGTGTCCCTCAGCCCATCTCTACCTGGTGACTTGTGAAGCCCGGCTAAGCTGCTGGGGTGGAGCTTGTAAAGCGCCCACTGGGTGTGCAAGAAATACAGCAACTCCACTCCACTCTCCCCTTCCAGCTGCAAGTATGAAACCACCTCGGGAGGGTGAAGGGTGGAAAAGTCCTCCATAACAACCCTCTGGGAGCCCTGGCTCAGCGGGCTGAGTGCAGCCTATGAACCAAAGAATTACCGATTCGATTCCCAATCAGGGCACATGCCTGGGTTGTAGGCCAGGTTCCCAGGAGGGGGCGCTCAAGAGGCAGCCACACATTGATGTTTCTCTTTCTCAAAAAAAAAAAAAAAAAAGGCCTTAAAAAAAGAAACCCTCCAGGAAACCCCAGCCCTCGCCACCACTGCCACCTGATGCCGAGCTGCTGCCTCCTGATGCCGAGCTGCTGCCTCCTGGTAGAGTTGCTTGCACCCACACAGCCCACCCCGGGGCAGGCTCTCTTCCCTGCACAGTGTTGAAGCACCCACACCTACAACAGCAGGGACTCCACCCACCAGGAGGTACGAAGTCAGTGACAAAGAGCTCAGATGTCACATCTCAGTGACCTCATCCTTGCAGGCACCTTCTTGTGTGGCTGCACCCTTGTACTCTTCACTCCTGACGTTCGGGCTTAGTGACGTGAGTCCCCTCTGCACAGCCAGGCCCTTCTGAGACTCCAGAGGGTTCTGGGAGAAGCAGCGGTTGGGAGTGGACTGCGCCCAGCACCCCCCCCCCCCCCCACGCCCGCCTACTTGAGAAGCCTGACGGCTGGGCTGGGGCAGAAGCCCCTCCTCCCCCAGCAGCCACCGTGAGCTGGGTCCTGCACCTGGTGTGAGCTGGGCCCTGCACCTGGCGTGCCCCACGGCCAAGTCGAGGTGTGGAGGGAAAGGCGCGGCCACGCCCCCCTGCCCCCAGGGCAGGAACAAGCACTGAGAACTTTGCTCACCGAGTGGCCGCTCCCACACTAAGAGAGTGTTAAAGTGACAATGAGAGCTGGAAAGAGGAAGGGCCCCGGGTCTGGAGGCAAAGAAACCGAAATGCGTGTGGGCAGGTGCAGGGGGCAGAGATCTGAGTCACCATCCCGAGTGGGTGCCTTCCCTGCTGGGTCACACCCAAGTGCCCGGACACCTGCTGGGTGGAGCTGAGATACCGACACCCAGAGAAAGTGGCATGGGAAGCTTTGCAGGACTTGGTTTTGTCTTTTCAAGCAACTCCAAAGCCTGGGGCTTCCCTGGAGCCCCAGCGGGCCAGCCAGCTAAAGGAGAGGCGCTGCGCTGGGGGAAGCAACCACGAGGGCAGGAGGCAGCCTGGCTCTTCTCCACGGCACTGGGGTCAAGGCGGAGAGCAAATGCCTCCACAGGCAAGCCTTTCTGGTGCTCTTCACTGAGGGACGGGCTCAAAGTCACCTTCTTTATTTACAAGGATCAGGAAGAATGTCTTAGCTCTAATAAACATGGAGTCGAAATTGGCCGTAAAAGATGGTGGGCAAGGACGGTGCCCCCACAAGGCTGGCCACGGTGCTGCTAAACTGTGGCTGTGAGCCCCTCCCGAGCCCCACCACGCCTCTTCCCGCACTCTGCAGAGCCGGCACCACCAGGGCCTACGAAGCTGACCCTGAAGGCCTACCCCTGGCTCCCTGTGGAGACTGAACACCACGGGAAGCGCAGGTCAGACGCGCCCCCCTAAAAGTCCCCCTAGAGACCTGCTAACCACGCATAGAAGCAGCAGTAATGCTCACGGCCTCTGGCAAACGAGAAGGACCGGAAGCTTCCCTGGCACAAGGGCCTGTGGGCTCACCAAAGGGGGCTGGGGACCCTGAGGACATCAGAGCAAGTGAAGGACGAGGCTGCTTTGGGACATTGGGATGAGCTGTCGGCATCAGCTGGGTATTGGGATGATTATTTCCTCCTCTCAGCGACTGAGGGGGGAGGGTCCATGGGGTCACAGACTGGACTCTCCAAGTGTTGCCTCAGGACGTGAAAAGTGGACTTGAGATTAGGACCAAGCCTCAGAGAGCCTCAAGTTGAGGGTCCTTTCCTGGGGCTCAGCATCTGGGAGGGGGCCTCAGCCTGGAGGGGTACGCCCTGCCTGCTCTGCGTGGGAGGCCGGGCCCCGGGCTGAGCGCGCGGGCCTGCTCTGCGGCCCAGGTCTTCTTGATCCTGGGCAAGGCTCAGTTCCTTCGTGCCCGGCTTCTTCATCTATGAAATGGGAGCTCACGGCACCCTTCCAGCCAGGTGGTAGTAAGGCCAACTGCAGGGTGGGTGAAGCTATGGCCCAGGGCACGTGATGCCGTAAACTCTCAGTGAGTTTGAAGTGTTTGCAGGCGCAAGTGCTACAGACATTGATGGATGAGATGAAGCCTAGGTTAACAGAAGACACTGCTGCCTCTGAAGACATGCTTGTTCTGCAGGAGGAGCGGCTACTGCTCCCACCCCTTCTCCTCTCTCCAGCCCTGTGAGACTGCCGCCCATCCCTGCTCGGAGCGCCAGGCAGCACCTCGCATCTGCTGCCGTTTGCACAGGTGCAGTCCTGCCCTGCGCTCTGGGTTCAGAGGATTCCAGAAAAGGAAAAGAAAGTAAAGGGAGTGAACCCAAAGCTGCATGTGGCTCGGGTCGAGGGGAGGCAGGCGGAAGGGAGAGGCCAACAGCTCCCGAAGCGCTTGCCTGTGCAGAGGGAGGGGCACGGGAGGGCACGTTTCTGCTGCTGCAATTTGCAGCTCCCTGGACGAGGGCCCTGGTTTCGGAACAGCCAACGTATGCGACAGCTGGGAGCGACATCATGAGCCTCACAGAGCCAGCTCTCTCCCTCCAGCTGGGGGACCGCACCGCTCAGGCCATGACACAAGCTGGGTGACACCCAGTGAGGAGCTGGGAACACGCTGTGTCCTCCGTGGCCGCCGCCGTGCACGGCCCACCCAGCTGGCCCTTGGGTGGGTCCCTGCTATGTGCAGTTAGCCTCGCCCGGTCTCCTCTTGTTTGGGAGGGGCTGCCCTAGGCAGAGCCCACCAAGGCTCTCATGGGGGAACTTGGAATGTAGAAGCTGTCCGCTGGATGCTTTACCCGAGGCCGGGGCACCCTGGCTGTGGGCTGACAGGGCCACACACATCTAAATGGTGACAGCAGGTCGGCCAAGAACAAAGCGGAGCTGTGCTGGTGGAGTGGGGAGCGGGGCAGAGAGACAGGCCATGTGGTGCAGGTGGAGAGCCAGCAAAAAAAAACAAACGCGATACAACCCTACTTAGCAAATTCACAGCTGGAAATATTCAAAAGATGAAAATCCAAAATTTCAGCTGTACTCCTGGGCCCCCATAACATCATGCATTACAATATCTGGTCCAAGATGTGTCCTCAGGCTGTCTGATTCCAACTCATTACGTGACATTTCAGCACCTGCACCAGAAGGCGGAGGGCTAGCAGGGACCTCTCTGCACAGCCTCCCAGCACGCTGTCCGGAGCCTGAGCGCCCTTGGGGGCTGTGGGAAGCTCCCCTGAAATTCACAGCTGCCAACTGCTCTACCCACAGTTGCTCTAACAGCACCCTAAATGCCATGACCCTCGTTTCTCTTTGTCACCGTGTGCTCAGGCTGGAAGATCAACTGACTGCCACCTACAGGGGGCCAAACCCCCTGGGCCTGGGGAGGCCAGGCCGGGCTCTGCCGTGGTGGGGAGAGCGCGGCTTGCCGGGCTTTAGACACGCTCACCAACACGCCGGCCCCTGGAGGTGCCCGCACACCTCCGGTCCTATCTTTCATGGACTCAGGAGCCCACCGGCTTGATTCTGGTCTCACGCTTAAATAAAACCCACCACCGACTTAGGGTGCCAAACATGCCTCCTGACCACAGCGTGACGAAAGCTTACTGTGTTTGTTTTTCTTTTCTGGCAGCGGAGGTGGCTTTTCTGGGTCGCCTGTTGACTCAGGAACAGTGAAATCACCCACAAATTCAACCGAGGCTGAGGAACCTCCTTGCTGGAAGGGGAGAATAGCAGCAAAGGGCGTGAAGGGGACGGGCTGGACCAAGGCTGGGTTCTGCAGGTCGTCCTCAGAGATGTTGTCGTATTGGGAGGGGTGCCGCTCATAGGACACCCTGCAGCCAGAGCTGTCCGTGGTCTGGGAGGCCGCGCTCCTGCGCTTCTTCTCGGGGAGGGCGGGCGGTGCGTCCGTCTGCTGCCCTGAGGCGAGGGGCCCGTCGGGCTGGGGGCAGCCGCCAAGAGGCAGCTGGAAAGGGTGGCCCAGAAACGGGGACCCGGACTCCCCCACAGACTCCGGCAACGGGCTAAGGTTACAGGCCGCTTGCTGAGGTATCTGGTCTGCATTCGAGAGGTCTTGCTGAAGGAATTCGTAGTCAGGATCATAATGATCTGTGTTCACAACAGGAAAGGCAAAGCCGTCAGCCACAAGACCCCACAGGAAGACCCGTCCCTCACTGCGCCCAGTCCTATTCACTACAGCACAACAAAAACGTGTTTCTCCTCTCATCTACATAGGCCTGCGCGCTTTATTTTATGTTCTTCACTCAGAAGAACTGCTGCTTTCATAAGAAGAAAAGCTTATGTTCACAAGCTTTATGTGCTTGTAACAGTCAAAGCAGATGGGAATGCAGCTCTTTGCTATCTTATACTTTGAACTTTTCCTATATTTTTTTAAACTTCTTAGTTAAAAAGAAAATGTGTAACCCATGTAGAAAATGTGGCCAAAAGAAATATATATAAAAATATAAAAATCACCTGCAGTCCTGTAATCTAACTGTAATCTGTTTACAATTTGATATATTTCCTTAAAAGTCTTTTTTTCCCCACACAGAATTCTTTTTTTAACTGAACCGAGAAAATGCTATGCAAGTAGTCTAGGATTCTGTCCACCAGTCAATAGATGACAACTCATTTTTAATAGCTATGTATCATTCCACTAAACGGCTGTATCATAATTTGTCTGAATTCCTGAGCAGTCAGACATTTCCAGTTATCACGAGTCCTAACGATGCCAAGATGAATGTCCTTGGGCAGCAATCTTGCTATAAATCTCTGATTACGTTCTCAAGATAAACTCTCAGATGTGAAATCCAGACTACGGGACGTGAACAGCCTGATGCTCTTCAAGCCTCATGCCAAACGCCTGTCTGACTTCCACACGGCCACGCCGCGGGCGGCCAGCACCGACGAGGGGCGGGCACGTGCCGCTCGCCCGCCTCCCCCTCTGTCAGAAGCTGCCAGGGTCTTCCCTTCACTTATAGCTCCAAGCAGAGAGGAGTCTTAATTTTGGCAAAGGGAGCCAAGTTACCCACCGCCAGATGAGCCGCAGTAGCAGCTACCGCTGGAGCCTCTCCTCTGGGGTTTCACACTGTTCCTTCCCCTGAACCCTCAACCCCCGTCAGAGGCAGATTCTGGTACCCTCGCTGTACGGGCGAGGAGACTGAGGCCTGGGCTTTGAATGACTTGGCCAAGGTCACACAGCTAAGGACTGACTTCACTGTGTGATCCCGAAGAAGCCACCGAGTGATGAGACAGGAGTGGTGACGAAGACGCCTGCAGCTCACCTAGTGTTTCACAGCTTGTGTTCCGGGAACACTGCCCGCTGTCCCTGTCCAGAGAGGACAGCTGCTCGTCTGACCTGCTGAGCTTGCCGATGCTGCTACAAGGGGACAGGCGGGGCGACTCCCCTCCGTAGGAGTGGCTGCCTCCTGACAGGCGCCTCTGGGCATAACAGTCCCCATCGAAGTCCTCGTGTGAAAAACAAAAACAACCCGAGTCACTTCTGAGAAAGGGCGACAGAGTCGGGGTGGCAGGAGGGAGTTGGAATGTCTACTTAGAGAAGAAAACACCGCCGCTGGCGCGCGGACACTGGCTGGGAGGCGCCCGCCTTTGATGTCAGCACTCACACACCTCGTCCGTGGCTTCCAGACGGAAGGCTGCAGGAATGCTGGGGTGTGTGGCGGGAGTTGGGGGGCCCTGGCGCTCAGCTCGGATGTCCTCAGGAGCGGCCCTGCCTGGGCTCCAGCCTCCCACCCCTGTCCCCACCCCTCCGTGGGGACTAAGAGATCCTGTGTGGCGACTAACGCAAGGGACTGAAGGAGTCACATGCCCAGACCCAGAGCCTCCCTCGGTTTTCCTGATGGGGCTGCATTACCTGCCTATTAATTCCAACAGGCAAACTGGAGCCGCTGGTGGCTCGGCTCATGGGGGCCACGACGGCCACACGGGTCGGGGACGGGGCCGACTGTCTTTTCTTCGGGGGCAGGGCTGGCGGAGGGCTGAAGCAGACCAAGAAACCCATCAACCCAAGCAACCCGGACAGAACGCTTTAGACAGACAGGCGGGCACAGAGTCACTCGCTCTTCGCCGCTTTGCACCTGCTTCCCGCACCGTCCACTCCCGCCCCACTCTCCTGCCAAAGTCACCCTGTGAGATAAGCCAAAAAACTACAATCAGAAAAACCCTTTCTTCTCCTTCCACAACGCACTGGACCACTTCTCGCTCGGCTCGGGGTGCAAGGCGAGCGCTGGGAGCTCCAGGAGTGGGGGCCGGGCCCCGGCGTCTTCCAGAGGGGCCCCACCCGAGGAAGGTCAAGCTGTCAAAGCTTCTAAGAAGCAAGGGACTGGGCTCCAAGTCCCTTTTGGCTCATTCTACCCACCCATTCATCAGCTTATGTCATAAATAGAGGAGGGTACTGGAAAAATAGAAAATTACCTGTTATCAACCACCCGAATGCCAGGTAAGGGGGGTTTGGGGGGCGCCACCTCTTCATCAGTAGAGTCGAGAAGCAGCTCGGTTGACTGTGACATGCTGGTTGTCTTGTTCAGAATCTCCACCTCTCGATCTGTCAGGGGGAGCTCAGACTGGCTGAGAATGGCAAAGAACCTAGGGTTACAGAAGGTCCCAGGGCACAGGCTGGTCCGAGGTGGGTCTGGATGTGACCGGGGAGGAGAATGACTAGGTGCGGGGCGCCTGGGCACAGAGCCCTGGACACTGCATGCAGAGGGGGCTTTCAAGTGTGGCTCCCTCACCAGCAAGCAGCAGGGGCCTGGCCACGCCCCCGGACTCTGCATTGTTTCCTCCTCTGTACAGGGACCCCTTCAACTAGGCCAGCTAAAGGCTGCCCAGCATGCTCCGAGTCTGTTTTCTATTTGGACTAGGGGCTTGTAGTTGATGAAGCCAAATGCTCTCAAGCCAAATCCCCAAAACCCAACCTTCAAAGCTCTTTCTTTCCAGTGTGGAAAGGGAGCTGCTTAGAGCAAGGTGTGCACCACCAGGCCCTCACACTCTAGCCTCAGAGAGTCACGCTATTAACCTTGAGACCAGGAAATACTTCAAGGCACGTGTGAGCTGTACACATGTGAAGGCAATCCAGGCACATCCCAGAACATGACGGAAAAGGCATGTGGGCCTCAAACAGCCGGCCTGATGTGCGCTGCCGGCCTGGCACCCCCTGAGTGTAGACCCAACGTGACCCCAGCGCCTGGAGGGCTCGGTCAGCACTTACCCGTCAGGTTTGCAGGCTGGGGAGCTGGGTTTCACTGGGCTCGTTGGAGATGGGTGCCCCTGCTTCTCAATGGTGAGCCTGACCAGCTCCTGCACCCCACAAAGGAGAAAAGCAGTGAGGCATGAGGGCCACTCCTCACCACTGAGTCTGCACAGCGAGGTGGGTCAGCAGTCTGCCCTCCACTGCCAAGCACTGTCATTGTGCCCACAGAGTCCCCGCTCGCCACAAACCTGAGTAGCATTCGACCTAGGTAGTAGCCTGCACAACTTCCCAAAATGTCCCCTGCCCTGCAAAAATATCTTCATAGCGTGTCAAGAAGTTTCACATGTATCAAGGTACTTCCTCTTGGAAGGGGGAAATGACAAGCCCCACGGTCTCACAATGACTAAGTTCATCACCCAAATGAAATTCCCCTGGCAGAACAGATTCCCAGTCATGTGTGGGGGGAGAGCTACTCTAGTTCTCTAAAGCTGTTCTAGAGTGTGCGGGACAGTGCCTACTGAGGACCAAACCTCTGGCTTTGGGAAGGTGGTTTCCCAAAGCGACTTGGGAACAGCCGTGCCGGAATCCTCAGATGACTGGTTGGAATTTTTGTCAATGGACAGAAAGTTAAGGGCATACTACAAAGCAGAGAAATGACTTTTACAAAATACTTTTTAAAATAGAAAAGGAGGAGGACAAGGGGGAGGAGAGGACATCAGGGTCTGTCTGTTTCCAAGTAGAACGCATCTTCCCCGTGCTCGATGAGTCCTGACGATCGCATATACCCGGTAAGAACAACTCAGAAAACAGAGAACGTTTCCACCAGCCTCCACAGTCAATCCTCCCGAATCCAACCACTTTTCTAACTTTTACTTCCTACACCACTTTTGCCGAGAGCCTGATAACTGGAGCCACACAGCATGTACTTTGCTGTGTCCCTTTCCTTTTTCTGAACAGCTTACGGATGTCTAATGCGCATGCCACACAGCCAGCCCTTGAGCGCGCACAGCTCAGTGGTTTTCAGTCTGTTCACGGAGCTGTGCCCCCGACGGGTGCCGGGACTTCTCATCGCCTTGGGGGCGGCTGCCCCCGGCACAGCTCCGCTTGTTTTCCACAGCCCGCCCGGCCCCGCAGCCACGGCCCTCCCGCCTCCAGCCCGTCTTCTCTTGCTCGGCACAGCACGTAGTCTGTATGCACGAGGAGCGCATGCCTTCTTGCCCCCGAGTCGTGTCCCAGCACACGGCAGACCCAGCTGCTGCACTCGCTCCCCAGCGGAGGGCCATCTCGGCCGGACCCGCCGGCGCTGCAGGCGTGTTCAGGCCCTCGGCCCCAACATCTGGCTCAGAGGCTACAGAGGAGGCAGTGATGGAGGCGAGCGGACAACACAGTGACGTGTCCCTAAATGGGACACGAGGCCTCTCCAAACTCTAAACGCCGCACCCAGGAATCACGGTGGGTATGGTAAGGCAGAGAGTTAACGTTCTTCCCAGAGCCAGGGTTCTTTCAAGAACACCAAAACCAAAAAAAGAGAAACGCCAAAGAAGTTCCCAAAAGCAAACACCCATGGTCAAAAATCATTAAAGAGCCTCCAACCTTGAAGATACTAAAACAGAAACTTCCAGACACGGCAGATGGGAGCAGTGCTTTGGACAGCCTTTCTAAAGGATGACTTGTCAGTATATATCAAACAGTATCTGCATTCTTTCTGTAACAATTTCACGCAAGAAAGATGTCCTGGATGTGCAAAAATTAAACCAGAAACAATAGTCATCACAGTGTCCTATGTAACAGATGAATTTAGACTGCTCCACAGTCCATAATTAAATATTCAATACTAGGTGCTGATTATATAAATCATGATAGAACCAAACAATGGACCGTTATATTGCCATTAAAAACCAACCCGTGACCAGAACGCATGACAGCATGGAAAGACACAGTCAGCGCTGGGTGGAGAAACAGCCGGGGTACACGCTGGTGTACATATAGCATATTTTGCAAACCAAATCAAACCAAGAGAACATGTAGGGAAAAAAAATACAGCTATGAAACACTCCCCGTTTTCTTGTTTGTGTTTCTCTGCTCTTTCTAAACTTTCTACAATGAACATGTATTACTTCTGGAATACTAATTAAAAAAAAAACAAAAAACTAAGGCCTGGCTGGGTGGCTCAGTGGACTGAGAGCTGGACTGCAAAGCAAAGGGTTGCTGGTTTGATTCCCAGTCAGGGCACATGCTGGATTGCAGGCCAGGTCCCCAATAGGGGGCGCACAAGCAACTACACATGGATGTTTCCTCTTTCTCCCTCCCTTCCTCTCTCTCTAAACATAAATAAAGTCCTTAAAAAAATAAAAAACTAACACACAAAGGTGGACCCCACGTCACGAGAGTCAGTGCCACCTGCTCTAACAGCGATGCCTGTTTCCAGAGAAATGTAGAGAACTGAGATTTCCACAAATCAAGTGCTGGAAAAAAAAGATTAGTATTTTCCTGGTATCACAAGTATGTAAGGAACAGCTCTCTTGCTGGGGATTACAGGCAAGACGGAGAGATGCGAGACTACGTAATTACAGCAGCCAGCAAGCCACACGAGGGCCTGGAGGAGGAAGGAAAGCAGCTTGTCACGGGGCTCACAGAAGCGCACCGCCGAGCCAGGTGTCTGAGGCCAGGCCGCAGGGCCTCGCCCACTCCACGCCCATGTGCACGTTTTGTGTACAGGGCAAAGGGGACAGACAGAAGCCTGAATACTTACAGCTGCTGACGTAGGAAAAAATTCCACTAATTCTTCACTGAATCATGAGTAATTATAATTAGAACATCATCTTTCTCGAGAAGCAGCTGGGCGAACTCAACTAATAAACGACGGCAGAAGCCGTGTGGACTGACGGGCGCACACATGCCGGGGCGCACCCGCGCCCTGGGATGGTGTCATGAGGGCAGCCACGCCGCGCACCGCCGGTCCACCAGCCTGGGTGGGAGCCGAGTGAAGCGGGGAGGCTTTCTGTGTTCGCCACCAGGCTTCTGGCCGAGGAGCCCAGCCAGAGGCCTCTGGTCTCAAGTGGCCTTTGCCGCCACAGACAGGAGAACCGTGGAAGGCGCCCTGGTGAGGCCACCGTGCCAACGCCCTGTACTCATTCAGGCTCCCATCTGCAGCCTGGCCGGAGCCCGGCTCCTCTCGCTGAAGGCAGGTCCCTGAGTGCAACAAAACTCTTTCTAGTCCCCGAGAGGCGCTGCTGAGGAAGGACAGAGATGGCACTGCACTGTGTGTCCAGAGCCGGCGACCGTCACAGGTGGGACAACTGTCAGTTCACTGAAATAGAGTTTTCAAAGCCAAAAGGTATTTGGAAAAGCACCTTTCTAAGTACGCAATACTTTATTTCTGCATTCAGTCTATTCCTATTGAAAATGACCCTGGAGATGCTTCCACTTTGAGTGACCTTCGCCACCTGGAAGTACAGCTCAGGCGCCCACTGAGCGAGATGCAGTCGCACCCGCCTTCTCCTCGGCAGCGAGGCAGTCCTGCCTGGCTGCAGGCAGCACGGGCACCAGCGGACTCGCTGCCCCGCCGCCACGCAGGTCCTCAGGGACGCCGCAGCAGGGCTGAGGTCCCCCGGGCCGCACGGAAGGCCTGAGCACCACTGTGGGAAGCGTGCCGCCCCGCAGCCCGAGGCCTGCCACCTGTGCTCACGCCCGTCAGTGCCCATGCCTCGCTTCCTGGGCCTGTGACCCTCCGGGGGGCAGGGACCCGGGCCCAGGGAGACACGTGCCGATGACCGCGACACAGCGCCCAGACTGGGCAGCCGCCCTGAGACGAGCACCTCCCTCAGGGCGCCGACTGCCAGGCGCGCGGAGCCCCCGTAACTGAGGTGGTGTGATGCAGTCACGGGGCTGGCCGGCCCCAGTGCGACTTTTATGGTGACAAAGAGGACCGTTCCCTGCCCACAGCCAAAGTGGGTGAGAGAGAGCAACAGAGCAGAAGGGTCTTCTTTCTCATGCACAGTAAGAGGCGGCAGGGGGCTGGCAGGCAAGGGTGGGGACGGCCGGGCGGCTCCCAGGGGTGCATGCCCAGTCACGAGGCAGCTGGGGAGACTTCCAATGCGGCCCCCGAGTGGGGTGCCCAAGGAACCTACAGAAAAGCTGAGCTGGGCAGGGGGCACACTGAAAAACTGGGCACCTTTGTGTCCAGAATAATGAAACCACGTCGCTGGGGCAAGATGCTGCACCTCGAACAATAAATGCTTTGCTAGAGAAGCTTGCAGACAATCGGGCGACTGGTCAAGCTCTGCAACGAGGCAGAGTGGCCAGGATGAGCTCGCACAGGTGCGCTCCACTGGGAGCTGCGCTCCACCGGGAGGTATGCTGCCCCAGCTCTGGCTGGGACTGGGAGGACCTCTACACTCCAATGCCCTTGACAATGAAAAGAGGGCGGTGCTTGGCCGAGTCTTCACGTTAGTGAATTTACTAGAAAAAATACCTAGTGAACTGCTCGGAAAAGGAAAGAGAGATGCCTTACTTTAAGTCATGCTAGTATTTCAAAAAAAAAAAAACCCCAAAACAACAAAAACATCCCCAAACCCTAAATGTACGAAGCTGATGTACAGGTGAGATGGTTTTTTTGACGTCCAGAAACGTATCCCACAACTGCTAGAGGAAAACGTCTACGAATAACCAGCTCTTTCATTTCCCTTCCTTCCCTCTCTTCCCTTCCTCTTCATAGCAGTGGGATTCTTCATCTGCTGCATATGGTAATCACTCAAAGACAGATGAGTAAAGGAACCTAACCTCGCAGCCACACGAAGAACTATTTGAAATGACACAAAATGATAGATAACCTGAAGATCAAAACCAATTTTAAAACATCTTTCATAATTTTAAAATAATCATATTAGAGGCAGTAGCTGGTGCTGTTATTCTGAGACAGTTGTGCCTGTCCCGTGGGAAAAAGCAAATGAGCCATTCATTATGTTGATATTATTGAAAACTGAGATTTTCAGTTTGGAGGGGAAGAAAAGTAAGATACAAGTTTGACAAGGTTAGGTAAAGCCCGGATAGTCCTGAATGTGAATCGGAGGTCCTGTAAACTCAAGGTGCGTTTTGTTTTGAAGAA